CGAGGAAGAAGAAGCTGGGGGCGAGTTTTTTTTTTTTTTTGCTCCAGATCCAACCGCGCACGCCTCGCATCGAACGGCTAGGGCTGGACCGGCCGAACGTTTCGGCCGGTGCGCCGGCGCCTAGCATCGCCCATGCGAGATGGCGGCCGAGAAGAGAGGGCTCCTGTTTGGTTTGCTTTTGAGTTTGAGTGGGGTTTCACGCGTCGCAAGGGAAGGAAGGTTCACACTGAGAAAGCAGCTACGCTGCTTCTTCTATATATAGTGTACGATTCCATGTTAATATTAGGCAAATATTAATTCTATTAAACATTAATATTATGCAAGATATACATTGTGTATTAATATTTAGGTAGGATTTGATTATTTCATTAATGCGTGCGTTGGAAATGTCATTGGCCAGCTGCTTTGAGCATCTCCACCGGTACCCTCAAAAACCTCCAAGGCCCCGCTTGGATTGGGTGTAAATTTTTATACTGGTATTTATTTTACAGATATAAATTATCTGTCACAGCTAATTTTCCGCCTGAAAACAAAACGACCAGTCCAGACGTGTATCATAAACCAGCTGGATACGATCGGAAACAGGAATCCAAGCGGGGCCCAAGTGTGTTTAGGGGCTCTCCAAATAATTTTTTAGGGTTTTAGAGATGTGTTGATGTAGAAGGCCGGCAGCGTGGTATCGGTGGAGATTGCCGATGGCCAACTCAGGAAGGGGAGGCTGCCTTGCCGCCGACGATGCAGCGGCGTGGTTGCGACTAGCTTCGGCCCAGACGGTTGGCTCCCTCCACGGTGGATGGGATTATAGGGATATAGTTGCATCTCCCCATCTATATGCGGGGGTATGGGGTGTTTTTAAGGAGAGTTCATCCAATCAAACATCCGATGGAAATATTTGAACAACAGTTTGAGGAGTTGTGTACCCCATATTAGTTGCCATCAAGTGCCTTCGCTGTCAGATCGACCTCCTGCGTCCGGTGATCTGGTAGCACAGCCCATGCAAGAAAAGAAGAAACACACAACCGGTAGCAAAACCCATGCAAGATCCAGGAAAGCACGACTTGAGAGAAACAACTGCGGCAATGAGTAATGGCATCACAATCATGTCCAACGGCAGCAGTTTCGGCAAACGTTTACAAACAATTCCGACCACCGCAACATATGCGATCTCATAAGTCACCACAGCCATTTGAATGAAATCCAGGTCCGCTGGCAAGAGAACCCTAAAAACACCAAGCACACGCCAGTGGCATCATTTCGGGTACCCTTCAACAGTCTAAACTCGGCCTCTCTCGAAACAAATAATTCCCGATATACACAGCGATGGGAGAAATGGTCTTTCTTCACAAGAATGGTGGCATCCTCAGGGGAGGCACAGGCTGGTAAACACTGTCCGGGTGGCTCTGCGGTATCCGCTCCCCGGGAGCAGGTCTTCGAGTGAAACCTCCATGTGTATGGTTCTGCATCGGATTGAACGTGCTCCACCAGTGAGGTTCGCCGTCGACAGGGACCCACGGGAATGGCCCAAAGCCCTCCCAGCCCCACGCATATGGTCGATCGACGGGTGGTCTAGAGACACCTTCACCATCAGAGGGAAGGCTCCTGTTCACAGCTGCAGGTGGAGCAAATCCATGAGGCACTCCAACCTCGGCCGACGACGCTGCTGCTGCTGCAATGAAAGACGTGATCGTCAAAGCCCTCGGCCTAACCCTCCTAGCTGTAGGAGGGAAAGGACTGCTTTGCATTGAGGAGTGCATCGAATGTTGATACATATGTCCCCTCGCACCATGACCATGGCCTCTAGTCTCGCCCATAACAGCTGGAACTGACCCTAATGGTGCCACCAGATTGCTTCCATTGCGAGGTGTGGGCCTGTAGTATTTGGACATTATAACTTTGTAAGAGCTAAGCAAATAGTAGGTGGTCTACCACAGGAAGAGATAGGCATGACCTGCAGAACCTATCTAAGATTTATTTAGTTTTCCAAACAGCCCACATAAACCATAGATCAGACAGAAAAAAATCATGTTCTCAGGATTCTGTAAAAGAATTTTTTTTTCACAGGGATTTAGATCATCCAGGCTATTAGACCCCACCTATGTGGTGACTGGTGAAGGATTTGTAGTTTTGTAGTTTTGAAGAGGGGTTTATCTAGTCTAGAAAGTAAAATTTCACAGTTAGATGGTATTCATGAATTGATCATACCTGTGTACTAGGGGATGGTGGTGTACATATGGTCTTGATCTTTGTTGGCTGCTGGTTTCATATCTGGGAAGTCCTATACCAAATGGAGCTACAGAATGATCCGGGATGCCCGATACAGGAAGATTAGTCAAATATCTGTGCTCACTATCAAGAATTCTTGGCTCAGTTGCATGGAAAGCTGCTTGGGTATTGCCCAAATCAGGAGCTGCATGGCCTTCCAAGCTAGTTGGATGGCGATGAAATGAAGCGCCTTCAGCACCAGAATTTGAACCAAGAGGCACATGCACGGGATGGAGAAAACCCCGCAGTGAAAGATAAGGACAAACAAGTGAACTGCTTGCAGCACTCGAATGGTCTGCCACTGTATGATCTTCATAAAATTATCAAAAATCAATAAACAACATAGAAATTTCGTTAGTCAAAATTCTGGGTCAACATGCTTACAAGACGGTGGCTCCGCTTCACCCTCCCTGCAAAGAAGTACAGGATAAATTCAGAACCTGATGAAGTATACAATATCAACATAGGTGAATAAAGGTTTTGCAATACAGAAGTTCCAGTAATAATAACTGACAGTGACCGGCGAACCAAGGAAAGGGCAATGCACGACGTAGACAAGACCAAGGTTCAAAATATCGTATATCGGGTTCGTATCGGTTTGGCTTGAGCATATCGGATGTCGGATATCGGGTGATATATCGAGCGATATGTAGATATATTGGAGGAAATATATCTATATTTTTTTTCAAATATTCTTGATCAAAAATGTCATTTTAGTAAAATAAAAATGTATGGTGTCGACGCTCTAGCATAACAAATTTAAATTCCTTGTTTATGACTTGTTAACTAATAAACTATTTAAGATAGATTAACAAAA